CAGCGTCAACCTGCTGGGCTCCAGTGATCCTTCCACCTCAGCCTTCCAAGTAGCCAGAACTGCAGGCATGTGCTACCATACCTGGCTAAATATTCTGTCTTTTTATGAAGACACCAGTTCTATTGGATTAGGGCTCCACCCTAATGACCTTATGTTAATTTATTGACCTCATTTAATTTAATCACATATTTAAAGACCTCCACAAAGACAGGAGGATTGCCTGAACCCAGAGGTTTGAGACCAGCCTAGGCAACTTGGTGAGATCTCGGTTCTACAATAAATTTAAAAAAAAGAAAAATGAGCCAGTGTGGTGGTACATGCCTGTAGTTCCTGCTACTTGGAAGGCTGAGGCAGAAGGATCACCTGAGCCCAGCAGGTCAAGGCTATGGTGGCCATGAGCGTGCCACTGCACTCCACCTGGGCCACAAGAGTGATACTCTGACTCAAAAAAAAAAAACAGAACACAAAAAAACCTCCAAATACAGTCACATTGGGGGTTAGTACGTCAACATGTGAATCTAGGGGACACAATCCAGTCTATAGTTTAGCATCGTGCTCTCTAATTTATCCTGTAATCTTTTTTATTATTATAAAGATGTGGGGTACAATTCAGGGTTCGGTGTGATCTTTTTTGAGTCAGGGTCTCACTTTGTCCCCCAGGCTGGAGTGCAGTGGCACGATCACAGTTCACTGCAGCCTCGACCTCCTGGGCTCAGGCAATTCTCTCGCCTTGGCCTCCCAGAGTTCTGGGATTACAGGCATGAGCCACCATGTCCAACCTATCCTGCAACCTTTTCAATGTGACATTCTTTAATGATCCCACCAAATAGGACTCTAGCCTCTTCTATAGAGGTCCTCATCTGGAGTTTTCCCGGAGGCCTCCTTTCCATGCCAGTATCCTCAGAAGAGTCCTTGTCATGCACCCGAGGAAACTGCACTTCCTTTTGCAGGATGAGTAGTGGCTTGGATAATGTTCATCCATAAAAGAGATGTATGAAGCCCCTCGGTCATAACTGCCATCCTCAATTGGCAGCCTCTGTTGGCTCCGTGCTGGAGTGGGGGCAGCCAAGCCTTGGTTACGGCACAAGCCGGCCATGGCTCCCAGCTCCCTGCTGTGTGATCTCGCTGCTGTCTGGCAAGGCCAAAACATTAACGTTTATCTCTCCTCTTGCAGGCAACGTTTCTTTATGTGTTACAAGTTAAATATTTGCTCAACCAGGTAATGCTGACTATCCTCTTCCTTTGGGAGGCTAATGGGCGTTTGTACCCTTCTGGGATTGGGGGTCCTGAAGACACGCTGGGACCAGAGAGTTTATCCAGGGGAACCATGGATAGACATTCTTCAGTGTTGTGCACTCAGGGTTTTGATGTTGAGAGGTTTGTTAAGTGATATCAAGGAAAGAACACATTATTTTTGGCTCTGGAAAATTCTTATCCAATTTCCACTTGGAAATATTGCCATTGGCAGGGTAGGATCAGAGCTGCAGTGTTTTTTCTGGCCCTGCATTTTAAACCAGCTCCCTGGAAGGCAGGGTGCATGCCAGTCTGCTCCCTAGACAGAGCTGAGGCTCAGAACAGCCTGTCTGGCTCCAAGGAGCCAACCAGTTCTGTCTTAGTTCTGTCTAAGAGGTCCTACTTGTCTTAGAGGGAACTTAAAAACTCAGATAATAATGATACTTAACATAGCCAGAACTCTTCCTATGTGGCTAACAGTAAAGACCCAGGTGTGATTGCCCTGGTCTTGGTAGGTGTGGATTTATGAAGCCCATGTATGTGAGACTCCCCAGTTCCTTCCAGATAAATCCAAGTAATGGGGGCACCAGGCAAAGGGTCAGCATCACACAGGCAAGCTTTCCAGGACATGCAACAGGGAGGGATGGGGGGGGGGAGAAGGGAGGAAGTTTCCACCTATTCAGTGTTCTTAAGACAGTACCCTATTAACAAAAAAGAGAATATTTTGAATCTTTCTTAGTGTTTAGAATATGCACTTGAGACAGCTTAGACTAAGAGAAGGAAATCAGCATATCTGATTTGTCTCTGGCTGTCTCCTTTCAATCTAGAACTTTGTCTGAAGCAGGATAGATGCCTTAGCATGCTGCAGGGCCTTCTCCCTGACTTAGTTACCCAACAACTATGGTGGCCCTGACCTCAGGCTCTGATTGATCTAGTAAGGACAATGGAGATGAAGCTCCTCCCTCCAATACCCTGAGGCTCAGGGAGGCAGGAGCTGAGAGGGTTTGGGAGGTCTGAACTTGGTGACAGAAGTCGTGTTGGGGTGTTGAAGGTGAGGAAGAGGGCCTTCCCTAGGAAGACAGCTTGACCTCTAGCTGAGTGTGCAACCAAAGAGTAGCAGCTGGGATTTTGGAGGAAGTTAATACCCTCGGAAAAGGTGTAGGGTGGGGGATACTTAGGCTTTCAGGTGGGAGAGGGAGAGGACCTCGGAGGAGAAGGTGACGCCCCTGGGCCTCCTCTAGCTGTGAGGGCGCAGTCTCCTTGCGTGACTTTGGTTTCCATCTCTGTTCCCATGGCTCCCATGTTCACCTGTAATATCCAAGCACTCTTTCCAGTTGCCTTTAGGAGACTCATGCATGTTGCAGACTTGACCTCCTCCTCTTGACCCACACATGTGTTTCTCCACCTTCCTGCATTCGATCCCAATGAGTGGCCTCAGCCATTTTCTCTCCCAACGATCTGTCGTTTTTAGCCCCTCACATCCCTGGTCCATCTTCCCCCACCCCCATCTGCTCAGTCACCTGGTCCTGTAGCTTCTGCCTGCTCCTCTCCTCACCCTCCCTGCCACCTCCTGAACTGATTTCTTGTCATTTGTCCTCTGTGTCATTTCCGAGGATCTTAACTCACCTCCCTGCTGCCATCTGCCTGGAATATAAATCTGATCACAAACTCCCTTGCTGAAAACTAACCAGGATCTCCTGATAAATAAGTGGTCGCCCGACCCTTGTCCTGGCCCCACCAGCCTGAGACCACCAGAGATGAACCCGCAGTCAGGTTGGGTTTGCAGTTGGGGTGATTGACCCATCACATTGAGAGAAACCACGGGATCCAAGGGCGGCGGGGGAACCCACACACAGAAAGAAGAGTTATAAGAGTTTGGAGAAGAGTCAGGTGAAATTTAAAGGAAGCCATGGTTTGACAGGGGCAGAGCAAAACTGTGGTAAGGGGGGTCAACATCAGGTCTGAGGCACCACACAGCTGAGACAGATGTGGAAGGGAGATGCTGAATGCTGCGTCCAGGAACTCATGTGAAGCGCTGCACCTGGATTGGACATAAAGGCTGCTCCTTTGTGTTAAAGTGATTTTGAGCCTCCAGGCAAGAGTAGGATATTTTCTTGTTACTGATGTGGGTTTTCAAACCACAAACTTTCAACAGCCTGTGATTTTATTTATTTATTTACTTGAGTCTGAGTCTCACTCTGGCGCCCAGGCTGGAGTGCAAGGGCATGCTCCCAGCCACCGTAGCCTCAACCTTCTGGTCTCCGGCAATCCTTCCGCCTCAGCCTTCCAATCAACTGGAACTACAAGCGTGCGCTCCCACTCAGCTCATTTTTGATTTATTGTAGAGACAAGGTCTCACCAAGTTGCTAGGGCTGGTCTCAAACTCGCGGGCTCAGGCAATCCACTCGCCTTGGCCTCCCAAAGTGCTGGGATTACAGGCTGAGCCATGGAGCCTGGCAACAGCCTTTGATTTTAGAGAACAATATTTCTCAGTGAGTCTGAAAGTGGTGGTTATCCCAACAAAGGGTGTAATGACACTTTCCAGGGCAGCATGGCTTGGGGAGAAATGATGTTTCTTCTCACCTTTGCAGCTGACTGTATCTGCGTCTATTATTCTATCCTGATGCATAGCAGGACAGATTTTTACTTCCTTGGTCCAATGAAATTTTACTTTCATGCCTATCTTTTCTTGAGATGCCAAATAGTCTGGGTGTTCCTCCTGTCACTGTACTTATGAGAGTCAGATATGCAGCACTCCAGAAAGAGACTTAAGTTTCACGAGATCTTCTTAGGTCAATTGTCCGAATTTTAATTTTGACTGAGAAGGTATTGTTATTTTCTCCTATCATCCAGTGTCAAAAAATGGCTTGTTGAATTTTTTTTTTTTTTTTTGAGTTGGAGTCTCACTCTGTCACCCAGGCTGGAGGGCAGTGGCATGCTCCCAGCCTTTACTGCCTTGACTTGCTGGTCTCAGGTTATCCTTCCGCCTCAGCCTTCCAAGTAGCTGGAACTGCAGCACACGCCACCATGCCCGGCTAATGTTTTGATTTATTGTAGAGATGAGGTCTTGCCAAGTTGCCCAGGCTGGTCTCGAACCCTTGGCCTCAGGCAGTCATCTCACCTTGGCCTCCCAAAGTGCTGAGATTATAGGCGTGAGCCACCGCAGTCCATCTGGCCTGCTGAATTCTTTTAACCCCTGCCAGTCTTGCACAGTTGGAGACATTTTCCTTCTTCCCTCTCTGCTACCTTCTTCCTGCCAGTGTCTCTCTGGGGCCAGAACTCCACACTTTATACCTCGAAGAGAAAAGGAAGAGAGGATGGGGGAGTGGGAAGGCAGTAGCAGCAAGGCGTGGCCTTCCCAGTTAAGCCCTCCTGCCATGCCTGCGACCCGGCCTAGCAGGCCAGCTAGAGCCTGACATGTCCTTGGGCAGCAGAAAGGCAGTTCTGCCCTGTGGATCTCAAGGATGGCATGCGGTGTCCTTGTTCCAGGGAATCGTGCTGCCTCAGATTGTAACCGGAGTTGCAGCCAACCTTCTCAATGCCTTTGTCAACTATCTGCTTCTCCATCAACTGCATCTTGGGGTGATGTGAGTCTAACCTACTCTTGGGACAGGGAGAAGGGATGACTGGCATGTGGCTTTTCCAGTGGGAGAAAAGAGTGGGTCCTTGAGCTGGTTCTTGTGTTCACATGTGGTCTCTTTCTCACATCCCTCTGGAAAACCCTGTTGGGGGATGGAGGGCAATGCTGCCATGGGAGGAAGAGGACCTCAGGGCCTGCTGAGGATGGCCCAGCAAGGCCTGGATTGCTCCCCTCCTTGCCCAGGTAGGCGCGGAGAGGATGGAGGACAGGTACCTTCCCTTCACTGGGCCTGTTTTTTCCAGAGGTTCTGCACTGGCAAACACGATTTCTCAGTTCGCTCTGGCTCTGTTCCTCTATCTCTACATCCTCTGGAAAAAACTGCATCAAGCTACATGGGGAGGTAAAGAATGCCTTTTGTCTTCCGACTTGGACGTGGGTTTGTCTCACGTGAAGCTCCAGCCCCATGGCCGGATCTATTGGAAACGTGTGTGTGTGTTTCCCGCCTGCAGGATGGTCCCTTGAGTGCCTGCAGGACTGGGCCTCCTTCCTCCGCCTGGCCATCCCCAGCATGCTCATGATGTGCATTGAGTGGTGGGCCTACGAGATCGGGAGCTTCCTGAGCGGTCCGTGTGAAGACAGATAATGGCGACTGGTGGGAATATGGCAGGGGGAGGGGGGCCCTCCGAAAACAAGGCATCAGCTGTCTTTCTTCACCAGGTATCCTCGGCATGGTGGAGCTGGGTGCTCAGTCGATCGTGTATGAACTGGCTACCATTCTATACATGGTAAGTGACAGAGGACTGGTCGTGGGGAGAAGCTAGATGTTTCCCTGGCTGGGTATCTGAATGAGTCCTCCAGATGAGCACAGGCATGCATAATTCAGTAATCATCTGTGAAATGATGGATTGCTGGTCATGGTGGCTCACGTCTGTAATCCCAGCACTTTGGGAGACAGAGGCGAGAGGATTGCCTGAGCCCACAGGTTCGAGACCAGCCTGGGCAACATGGCGAGCCCTTGTCTCTACAGTAAATCAAAAGCAAAAAATTAGCTGGATGTGGTTGCACATAACTGTAGTTCCAGCTACTTGGAAGGTTGAGTTGGAAGGATCACCTGAGCCTAGCAGGTCAAGGCTGTGGTGGCCATGAGCAGTTTGCCACTATACTCCAGCCTGGGCGACAGAGAAATTCCAACTAGAAAAAAAAAAAAAAAGAATAAATGATGGATAATAGTAAAATCTCATCCTTGAGCATGGGAGTGTGCTTTCAATATGGTTGGATGTTTCCTGTGAACTGAACGGGGTTGGGCAGAAATATTTCAAATGATCTGCTTTGCTTCTCTGTCTTCCTAACACAGCTCAAATCCAAAAGATCTGATTTTATTTCCATACTTTTAGAATCTTTTTCAGTTGTCACAACACAAAAGTCTTAAGGGGCCAGCTGAATGGCATAGAAGAGGGATGAGACTGGGTGTATGGCAATGAATACCAGGCTGCCCATGTCACCATGCCTGGCTCCTGCCTAGTTCTGAAGCCTTTGAAAACACATTGTGGCTACTCCTAGGTAGATCCCCAAAAGAATTGAAAACTGCATCCTCAAACTCCTGGGCTCAAGCAATCCTCCCACCTTTGCCTCCAGAGTAGCTGGGACTATAGGTGCAGACCACCACCACACCTGGCTAATGTTTTAAATTTTTTATATAGACAGAGTATCCCTATATTGCCTGGGTTGGCCTCAACTCCTGACCTCAAGCGATTCTTCCACTTTGGCCTCCCAATGCACTGGGAGTAGAGGTGTGAACCACTGCTCCTGGCAAAAAAGCAGGGTCTTAAAGGAATATTTGTTCAAATGTGTTCATAGGAGTATTATTCACAATAGCCAAAAGGTAGAAGCAACCCAAAAGCCAGGCTCAGTGACTCAGCCTGTAATCCTGTGCCTTTGGGAAGCTGAGGTGAGTGGATTGCCTGAGCCCAAGGGTTTGAGACCCGCCTTGGCAGGCGAGACCTCGTCTCTACAACAAATCAAAAAATTAGCCAGGCGTGGTAGTGCGCGCCTGTAATTCTGGCTACTCGGAAGGCTGAGGCGGAAGGATCGCCGGAGCCCAGCAGGTTGAGGCTGCGGTGGCCGGGAGCAGGCCACTGCACTCCAGGCTGGGTGACAGAGTGAGACTCCAACTCAAAAAAAGAAGCAACCCAAATGTCCATGAGTGGACGAACAGAGAAACAAAATGTGTTCTATGCATACAACAGATTATTATTCAGCCTTAAAAAGGAAGGAAATTTTGTTTGCTAGAGAAGAACTCCAGTCACTAGAGGCCTTCCTTTGACTTCATTTTACTGAACAAACGGAAATTCTGAAGGAACCGAGTGTCACTTTAGATATGTAAATTTAACAACAGAAAGGGGAGTTAGTAATGTGGGAGAAGACTAAAGCCAGCAGATGAGCTTGGCATTTTTTTGTGCTACTAAAACAGATCCCCCCAATTATTGGTTATATTCATAAAATACAGGGGGTTTATATTTCCTGTTGTCCTTAAAAATCATTCTCTTGGGGACATATGTTTTTGTTCTATTTCTGACAAAATATTTAACTTGTATTTTTTTTGTTTGTTTTTGTTTTGGAGTCGGAGTCTCACTCTGTCACCCAGGCTGGCAGGCTGGAGTGCAGTGGCATGCTCACAGCCACGCAACCTTGACCTGCTGGGCTCAGGCAATCCTTCTAAGTAGCTAGAACTACAGGTGCGTGCCACCATGCCTGGCTAATTTTTTATTGTATTATAGAAGAGAGATCTCCAAGTTGTCCAGGTTCGTCTCAAACCCCTGGACTCAGACAGACCTCTTGCCTCTGCCTCCCAAAGTGCTGGGATTACAGGCATGAGCTATAACCTGTATTTTTCACTCTACCTTTTATATTTTATTTATTTTATATCTCAGTAATTCATTAATTAAATCTAAATCAAAATGCTTAATGGTACATAGTATTCCACAATTAGTAGTATAATTTTTTTTTTTTTAAGTCACAGTCTTACTCTGTCACCTAGGCTGGAGTGCAGTAGCATGGTCATGGCTCACTGCAGCGTTGAACTCTTGGGTTCAGGTGATTCTTCCACTTCAGCCTCCTGAGTAGCTGGGACTACAGGCACATGCCACCACACCCAGCTAACTTTTCTGTGATCTTTTTGTACAAACTAGGTCTGCTGTGTTGCTTAGGCTGGTCTCGAACTCCTAGGTTCAAGCAACCCTCCCGCCTCAGCTTCCCAAAGTGCTGGGATTATTTATAGGAGTGAGCTACCGTATCCAGTCTGTAGTATAATTTTAAAACCAATATTTCATTTTTGAATATTTAGTTGTTGGTTTTTTAAGTTTTTTTTTTTTTTTGAGTCAGAGTCTCACTCTGCCACCCAGGCTAGAGTGCAGTGACATAATCACGGCTACTGCAGCCTCAACCTGCTGAGCTCAGGCAGTCCTTCTGCTTCAGCCTTTCAAGTAGCTGGGAATACAGGTGTGTGCCACCACGCCCAGCTAATTTTTTGATTTATTGTAGAGAAGAGGTCTTGCCAAGTTGCCCATGGTACCCATAGGCGTGAGGCACCATGCCCAGCATATTTAGTTTATTTCCAATGTTTCAATATGAACCACACTTTAGTGGATATCCTAGGACAATTATCTCTGTATACTTGTTTGATTATTTCTTTAAGATAAATTTCTAATAGTGAAACTTATGTATAATTTTATATCTTCTGCATATGTTTCTCTATGCTTTCCAATAGGCCTGTGAGAATTTACATTTACATTTCTCCTTAATCAAAAGAAGGATGTAAGGCCTGGCATGGTGGCTCATGCCTATAATCCCAGCACTTTGGGAGGCTGAGGTGAGAGAATTGCCTGAGCCCACGGACTCAGAACAAACCTGGGCAACTTGGTGAGACACCCATCTCTACAATAAATCAAAAAATTAGCCCGGTGTGGCGGCATGTGCTTGTAGTTCCAGCTACTTGGAAGGCTGAGGCGGAAGGATCGCCTGAGCCCAGCAGCAGGTCAAGGCTGCCGTGGCCGGGAGCTTGCCATTGCCCTCCAGCCTGGGCGACAGAATGAGACTTCTACTCAAAATAAAAAATTTAAAAAAAGAAGGACGTAATATACCTTTTCCTTGGATTCACCAAGATTTACATTTTGCCCTATGTACTCTGTCTGTCTGTCTACACAGTCCATATTCAAGTACCATCAATTTTTCCAATAATATCCTTTATCACTATTTTCTCCCTGACATTAAGCTGTCACATTTCTCTAGTGTCCTTTAATCTGGAACAGATCCTCAGTCTTTATTTTCTTGACATGGCATTTCTGAAGAATACAGACCATTATGGAATTTCCCTCAATATGTCGTAGCTGATGTTTCCTCATAAATCAGTTCTGACTGTCCCTTTGGGGATGGAATCCTACAGAAGCAATGCTGTGTTCTTCTCAGTGCATCATATCAGGAGGCACCTGATAATGATTTGTTCCAGTACTGGTGACATTAACTCTGATTGCTTGGTTAAGATGGGCCTGCCAGGTTTCTCCTGTCAAGTTACCATCTTTCCCTTCATAGTGAAGAAATTATTTTGGGGGGAAATCTTGATGTTTGTCCCTACTCATGAGTTTCTAGGCAGGGATGCAGATATATATATATATATATATATATATATATATGTTTTTTTGGTTTTTTTTTTGAGTTGGAG